CGCCATTCTGCAAATTGATGCAAAAGTCCGTCGGACGACTAGGCCTGAACGATTTTCTCTCCACCTCGCCCGATTTAATACCTCAGCTGTACCCTGGATTAAACAACTATAGAAAGGTCGACCTCAATAATTCGTATTTCGATAAGGACGTAGAAAAAACCTTCATGACTACAACGAAAGGTAGCTTCGAAACAAAAACACAACCCACTCTGCTGCTCGCAAATCAAATTGGTAATATGTATACCGCTTCACTTTATGGGGGGTTAGTGTCGCTCCTTATAAATCAGAATATCGAGCAAATCGCCGGCAGTAAAATTGGGCTTTTTTCTTATGGATCCGGATTAGCATCCACAATGTATTCGATCACGGTGACGAAAGATTCCAACGACAACTCGCAACTTTACAAATTAATTTCTAATCTAAAAAATGTTAAAACCAAATTGGAACAAAGACTAAAAATTTCACCCGAAAAGTTTATGACGATGTTAGCTGTGCGACAACAGAACTATAACAAAGCACCTTTCAAACCAATCGGTAGAGTAGAAGATTTATTTCCCGGAACTTACTATTTAGTAGAGATTGACGAAATGTATCGTAGACATTATAGGAGACATATTACAAGTAGTAATGGCTCAGTTTAGAATTTATTGTAAATCTGTATTACAATGGACTAAATTTAAATGATAATAGAAGTTTCTATTCTGAAAACAAATTACAATAAAAATGGTGCTTTGTAAAGTAACAATATGTCAACATGTAGCTTATAGAAATTTTATGTAAATACCCCAGAATCTCTCGCTTCTCTTAATTGTCATGTTTTTTACATTTGCAAGCAAAAAAAAGTCTCAATTACATTATGTTCCTCACTACTAATTCCTATCCAAATGCAGCCTTTTATCTTTACGACTCTAGTCATACCATTTAGCATTGATCTGAATTGTCCTAACAGGCAGCAAAAGTACGTGAAAATGACGTCTATCGATGGTGATGTGATGACCACATATCACTAGTTACATGACGAAAAAATGACGTGAAAATGACTTCCTAATGTCTCAGACAAATGACGTCATACAAAAACGTCAATTTGACGTTATCCATCAACATAAATTCAGCCATACCCCAAAACCTGATACTTAAATAAAACGCTTCAATACAATTTTATGTTTACTATAAACAGAAAATACATACGTAAAACTTACATATAAAATAAGTACATAAATAGTATTTAAAGAACCGTTATATATACATATGCGGTATACAAATTTAAATAAAAAAAAATGTGTGGTTAGAAACTAATATGATAAAAATAAAAAAAGTTGCATAACATTTTAATCCATCTTAGTTATATGATTAAGCAGACAATATTTTTAGAGAATGTAAGTAGAACACGTAATATCAAACATTAGTTGCTACATTAATTTGAAATATCAAATATTTTTAGATAGAATAAAATTGCTATGCAATTTCTTTCTAATTTATAACAGGCTATGAATAATAGGCATTGCTACAAAATGTTGCTTATATGGTATAACAATACATTTGCTACTTAATTCAGTAATTGCCCATAGTTTAAAAGATTCTGACAAATTTTGAACTTCAAAAATGTTCAATTCGCTTGAAGGGTATGGGTACAAATACAAATCTGAATAATCGAGAAATTCCTTGCCAATAATATATGTTGAGTTGTCAATGGTTGTTAGTATGTTATGAATTTCAATAACTTTATCTCTTGAAAAATTTAAAACATAACTGTCTGCTTTACAATAGCTTACAAGTGACAATGTAATACAACGGAAATGAAGTTTAGTAAATTGTTTATGCCATCTATAATTCTGACCAGAAATCAATGGTCCATTTGAATGTTCTAAACTTAACTTTATGCCACAATTTTGATTAGAAGACCGGGAAATAAATAAATCCTGTTCACAAAGGCGACGATGAATCTGCTGTAAAGGATTTGTAGAGGTCCTCACTAATGATTTGAGCTGCCCAAGGTAATTTTCGAAGGGAAATGCCGAAAAATTATCTAACACACCAAACCATTCTACATCGTCACAGATATGTGATAATAAATGCACATTATACACCATGAACTCTAAACCATATAATGTTTTCGAGTGATCAATGAAAACATTGATAACATTTCTTACCAACTCAATTCCAAATTTTCTTATATGTATTTCAGATAATAATATTGAAACTGAAAAATGAATTAATAGAAAGTTTTGATACACAGCATTATTCACTACATCTTTTAAAACCAACGGACCCAAGTATATTAAAAAGGTTCTAAATTCTGTAGCTTTCCAATACTTTAACTCCTCCAATGAACGAGGTTTGCGGTTAAACTCAATCGGTATTCTTCTTTTCAAGTCAAGTAAACGTTGAGACATAGTTGTAACTTTTTGGTGTGGTAGTCTAACCCTTAAAGAACCTCCAATCCAAGTGTTAAGCATTTTTCTAACAATTCCTAAACAAATATTATGCATGTAGTCCGTAGGAAAATTTTTGATCAAATTTATTGGTAAATTAAGCAAAGGAGTGGAGGAAATGTGATGGTCTTCATCCAGTTGTTGACGAAAAGATTGATCTGTTCGTTTTTGCGATATTAAACTGTCAAAAATTACCTTGTTTTTAAAATATTCACCGTGAACTGTACACTTATCACAAGCAGAATATCCTGTGTGGGATTTTGTGCCTTTTAAATAGGCTCTTGCAGGGGCATCACAAACAAAGCAATGCACATTTACTTGGAAGTGTTTATTGTCATTAAAAAACCCATGTTTTAGCAAAGCACTTAATTCTTCTATGAAAGGATTGAGAAACGTATCTATAGGTTTTGGTTTGTTCTTTCCACAAAAGACTGAAATCACAAAAGGTCTTATACTGCTATTTGTATTTTTAATTAATCCCAAAATTGGCCAAAGTTGTAATTTAGAACTTTTGAAAAGTGGTATACCATCGACATTAAAGCTAAGTTCAATTTTGTCATCAAATGGCTTAATAAATGAAACCAGTTTACTCAACGAACGTGTTATTCCAAAATAACAATATTGACCTGTTTCTAACTGGCAAATAGATGTTGAAGTTGGAGTTGCTAACAAAGTTCGACTATCTAAAGGTAGTTCTGGGTGGTGCATAGAAAGTACATGAAGTAGATCTGTCAAAGCTAAATGTGAAATTTTATGTTTTAAGGCCCATTCAGTTAATTGTCTAAAAATTGTATCGTCATTTGATATTTCACTTTTGCTACAATCTGATGATGATGTACACTGTAAAAAAGTTGTACTGTGCTCATCAATATTGTCATTGTCTGACGAAGATGAATTGCCTCTTGTTACATTACAATTTACTTCTAAGTTACTATAATTTTCTACATGGTCAATTTCAACAC